CACCAGCCCAACTACTCAGAAATAGGGCTGGTTTGTGCTTATAGAAACCCATGCAGTAGTTGCAGGTAACCATGCAGCTCTCTTGTCAAAAGTTTGGCAAGTTCTCCCACTTGTCCTGACTCATGGATACCTCTCACGTTAGTATGTGTGCCCCTCTCCCAGCTTTACAAATAAAACTATCATCATATACATTTTAGTCAACCACCAGAGGATACATCTCCTTATAAAGAGACACATCAATTGACAGCAACATTTATATTTTTGACAGTGTCACAACCTAGGCTAAAGATGGCTGTGTTGGCTAGTTTTCTGTCAACTTGACACAAACTAGAGTCATTTTGGTGGAGGGAACTCCACCTAAGAAAATGCCTCTACCACACTGGCCTGTGGTGCATTTTCTTGGTTGGTTATTGATGTGGGATGGTTCAGATTACTTTGAATGGTGTCATCCCCAGGCTGAGATCCTGGATTCTGCAAGAAAGCAGGCTGAGCAAGCCAAGGAGAGCAAACCAGTAAGCAGCATTCTTCTGTGGCATCTGCATCAGCTGCTGCCTCCAGGCTCCTGCCCTGACTTCTGTCCATGACAAACTCTGATATGGCTCTGTATAAGAAATAAACCCTTTCTTCCTTAAGTTGCTCTTAGTTATGGTGTTTTATCACAACATTAAAAACCTAAAGTAAGACAATGGCTATTGGAGACTTTGGTGTTATGTATTTTAAATGTTTTCAAGAAGACTATAGGATAAATTATAACATATAATTTGAAAGAATTTAAAAGAATGATTACAAAGATTGTGCTATATTACTATTTATCTATGTATTAACTGATGCCATGAAAATTTAGAAATAACCACAATTGTCCAATATCAAGAAATTAGTTAAATATATTAAGGAAGTTTCATGATAAATGGCAACACAATGATTATGTCATGTCTATTAGTGTACTAAATAACATAAAGAAGATGTTCTCAGCAGCTGTTAGGGAGAAAAGGAGCAGATTACCAACCAATGGATACATTGTTTACACATTTGACTCATAGGTCCAATGGATATATTGTTTATATATTCAGATCACAAAACCAGTGAATACATTGTTTATACATTCAGCTCACCGGCAATATCCGGGGCCAAAGTCCAGGCAATTGAGTCAAACATCCTTCCAAAGTTTCAGACCACTGTCTGTCTTATCAGTGAAGGAAATAAAGATCCAGTGAGATACCAGGCTATCTGAGGTCCAGAAGAACTGCAGAAAAGGACCCTTGTTCAGGGACAGAGGTTTGGGGGTCCAGAAAAATAATATTATAACTTTGGGTGACCTTGACAGCCCCGAGAGGAACAGAACAGGGTGGGGGTAATGAGAGAAGATTTCTAGAAGTTCCATTATCTGTCTAAAAAACAGATTCACCAGGCCTGGAGTTGGTGGTGCATGCCTTTAATCCCAGCACTCGGGAGGCACAGGCAGGTGGATCTCTGTGAGTTCGAGGCCAGCCTGGTCTACAGAGCGAGTTCCAGGACAGGCTCCAAAACTACACAGAGAAACTCTGTCTCAAAAAACCGACAAAAACAAAGCAAACAAAAACAAGAGCAAAAACAGTTTCACCAAAGAAGGGCAAAGTTACCTTCAAACTTATTCAAATTTCATTAGCCAAAGAAGAGTCAATTTATCATTAAGCAGAGGCAAACTTATGTACCACAGCTGCAACACTGAGGAACATTTGCCATTTATTTTTCTCCAGATTCATTCTCTCTCCTAAAATCTCAAGAGAACCTATAACATTGCCTCCCGTCTTTTCCCCTATGAAGAAACTATTTCAGTCTTACCTGTCCAGCCCCTCTTTGGGGGGTTTTAAATTCTGTATGACTCTCAGTTGACCTTGTATCATAAGGAGTATCAAATCCCTGATTCTTTCGATATTAGGTTTCAAGCCTGGGACAAATAGCTGAGGTGCCTATTTGATACATCAAAGCGGACACTGGCCTCTAGGTTTCTCCCAGCATCCCTCAGTCCCTACCTGTTACAGGACCACTCTTGGTTGCCATACCCTGCCCCTACACTAAACTTCTCCAGCCCAGGCGCTGGGCTGCCCTTCCCCCAGCCGCTCTTCCTTATGTAAGCCACCACTTTGGTTACCCCTCACTCGTTTGGGCCTCCTGGCTGCTGCACCTGGCTCCCCTCCGCTCTCCCTCCCCTTCACATTGATTACATCATGTCTACTCTGCGCTCTCCCAGATGTCCCTGCCTCTGGCTGTGTTTCCCTTTTATCTACAATAAACTTTCTTCTCCATCATATCTAGGAGAAGTCATGTCCTTTCCTTTTCTTATTTCTTTGTTTTGCAATCTATTTGTTTTCATGGTTTGGAAATTTAATACCCCCAAATGGCTGTGAGCAAAAGCCTTAGTCTTCGGCCCCTGATACTGTTGAAAGGTACTAGAATCTTCAGGGCCTAGGGTCTGGTGACAGGCAGTTAGACGGTTGTGTCCTTGAAGGGGACCCTGGAACCCCGATATCCTCATCTGTCTCTTTGCTCCTCAGCTCCCATGAGGTGAACCCCACCCCAACTTTGGCCATTTGAGTCTGCCTCCGTGTTTCCCATATTATACAGCTGAAGTGAGTCATCACATTGTGAGCTAAGATGAAGTGAAACCCAAAATTAGACCACACTCTGAGTAGAGGGAAAATTTTTATTCAAACTGTCAAAGTTATCTATCTCTCCAGGTTCAGAGAAGATAGCAGGGATTAGACATGATAGAGTCCTGCCAGTTATAGCTGGTTATGTTGCAGTGGGAAGATTCTGGGTTAGCTGGAGCAGCCTAGAGACTGTCATGGGGCTTTGATCTGTTGGAGGCTTATTTGAGACAATAGAGAACTCAATGCCCTTTCCAGAGGCTGGGGATGGGGGTTGTGGGAACATATAAGAAAGTAATGACTTTTCCTGGCAAATGGAAACCCACTTTATGAGCTTTTTAGGGAATGCTAAGTGTTTACCAGTTCCTCTGGGCCCGGATTGTCATTTTGGGGGGATTGGGATCTGACACAAATTACTGTAGACTAAAACCTCTGAAATGGCTAGTCAAATAAACCTTTTGTCCTTTAAGCTGATTTATCCCAGGTATTTTGTCACAATAATGGAAGATTAGTGCATCTCCCCACTGCCCCTGAGTGCCAGGAACACCACTAGGAGAACATCTTGTCTTCACTTCTTGCTATAGATCCTTTGGGAATTTCAAATCCAGGTTCAAATTAAGGTTGGCTCAAGCATACACAGGGTACATCATCCTTCAGTAGGGTCCCGTTAGTGTAGAAGTGATCAGGTCCCTGTCATCTCTTGAGTAGAGACTTGATGAGTTAAAGGACGGTGGCTTCTCACCTCTTTTCTGACTGACTAGAGAGCATAGTTCACATTTGCACGGAGTCTCTGGGATGGACAGTCGCGTGCATCCCAGCAGTCGCGTGCATCCCAGCTGCGACTTTGCATTTCCTCTGAGGAAGGCGGAGCCCCACACCACTTTTGAAAGCAAGGTAAGGTTTGCTAGTGCCGTTCTCTTGGACTTATCCCAAAACTGGCCGTGTATATCGAATCCTATGAAATACTATACAAAAAAAAGCCAATGTTCCCTTGAAAGCAAAGAAAGAATGTTAGAAAATTACGTGGTTATGGTAACTAGTGAAAAAGAAACCTGTTAGCGGAAAAGATTTAATGTTGTGGGAAAAGGACTGGAGAGAGAGAGGGAGGGAGAGAGAGAGAGTCTATCAGTCTGCTTTTGTAAATGACAGTGTTGTTTATTGCTTAGTGCAGGAACAGTTACTTCCTCCCTTCACCAGCTTGGGTAACATGGACTCTTCCCACACCAGGGAAAGGGGGTAAATCTGACCAGACTTGGTGTAAACCCTGAGAAAAAGTGATTGACATGCCAAGTACTAAGCAGTTGTGGCTTTAAAAAAGCAACGAAACAGCAGACACATATACCTGGATCCCCAGGATGACTTAGAGGAGGAGGGAGGAGGGGGAGAAGAAGAAAAAAGAGGAATAGAAGGGGCAGTTGGATGTGGAGGAGGAATAAGAGGAAGAGGAAAAAAGAGGAAATGGGAGGAGAGATAATAAAGAGTGGATAGAGAAAATGTGGTGTATTTACACAATGGAGTACTATTCAGCAAAAAAAAAAAAAAAAAAGAATCCTGAGATTTGCAGACAAATGGATGACACTAGAAGAAACCATCCTGAGTGAGGTAACGCAGTCACAAAAAGAGAAACATGGCATGTACTCTCTCCTATATGGATTTTAGACATAGATCTGGGGAGTGCCAGCCTACAATCCCATGGCCAGAGAATCTGGGAAACAGAAACTTCCTTCAGTGACTAATGGAAGAAGAGGCAGACTCCCACGGCTAAGTACTGAGCTGAACTCAAGAAAGCCAGTAACACGGAGTACTGATGACCAAACGAGTTAAGACTGGGCTGGTTTAACCTCAGAAACAGCTGACCTGACAAGGGTTAACTCTTTAATCCCAGGCATCAGCCTGGGAATCCAGCATGGGACTGATCAAGACCCCCTGAATGGGGGTGTCAGTGAGGCCTAGGCAATTTATTGAGCCTTGGGCAGTAGATCAGTACTCATCCCGAGTATACACACGGACTTTGGACTCCCATCCAACAATGTGAGATGCACTCTCACCCTGAACTCTTGGGGAAGGGTCTAGGCCCTGCCCTGGATGAAATGACAGACTATGGACAGCCCCAAGGAGGGCCTCACCCTCCCTGGGGAAATGAGGGAATATGGGGGGGTTGGGGGAGGGCACGGGAGGAGGGGAGAGAAACAGAGAGGGACCTGGAACTGACTTGTGAAGCAACCTTGTTTCTAATCTGAATTTAAATTAAAAAAAAAGAAAAATTACAGTTGCTGGGAGTGAATATCGAGTGTCTAGATGATTCTAGAACCCATAGCCTGTCAACTAGTCTACTTTCCTTTGGCTGTCATTCTTTGTCTCTTGTGTTTACAGGGGCATGAAGCACTTACTCGCTGTGACAAGGATGGACCTTGTTTGTTTTGTGACAAGCAGACACCGGCATGGGTGAGAAGGAAGCTCATGGAGGGGGCAGGTGGGCTTCCAGGCAGATTCTTTGCCTAGAACGTCAAACACCTGTCCCAGACAGTGCCCGGGGCTCCTTGCTGCCCGCCCGTTCCCAGCAGCATGTGGGCAGAAGAACCTGCCACCAGCATCGCTGTTCTGCACGGAGTAAGAAAACACACTGAAGAGCTTTTCTGGGTGATTTGTTCAGATTTGCTTAATTTCCAGCCTGATCCCGACAAGACGCTCTGGCCTTGGGGCAATACTGACACCAAGTGTTGGGATCTGTAAGACTGAAAGGAAAGTGAGACCCAGGCATGGTATGCCCACCCTCAAGGAACAGAAATCTAGGGGAATGGTCATGGGGGACACACTCCCTGCTGTGCTCACAGTGTGGGTTTTGGCACATCCTTCCTTAGCAGAGATGATTATCCAAAGCCTATTTGGTTTTAGTTACAAAATTTAAAAGATAAACTAGTTCTTCTCAATGGTTTGTTTGTCTTTGCTTTCCTGGGGATTGAATCTAAGGCTCCCTGCATACCAGGCAAGTACTCTACCATTGACCCATAGTCCCTCTTTTGACTCCTTTTTTTTCTTGAATATTTTTTATGTTTGTCTTATTTTATGTACGTAGGTGTTTTGCCTGTACGTATGCCTGTGTATCACGTGTCTGCCTGTGTGCCCTCAAGGACACAGGAAGGTGCGGATCCACCAGAATTGGAGCTACAGATGTTTGTGCACTGCCCTGTGGATGCTGAGAATTGAACCTGGGTCCCCTGGAAGAGCAGCCAGTGCTCTTAGCAATGGGGACATTGCTTTGATCCTCCTATGACTTTCTGAGATGGATCTTACTCAGTTTCCCAGGCTGGACTTGAATTTTCCATTCTCCTGCCTCAGCTTCCTAAATAACTGGGATGCTGGTCTGGGCGACCAGGACTAGATCTAGATCTTTTAGGTATCTAAGTTCAGTTTCTAAACACCATTATTTATTAGCAAAGAACATTCTTACTCATTTTCATTATTTGGAAACTCTGTTAATCAAAACTTAAGTATTTTAAAAACAAGTTTAAAAATGTGAGAGAATACACTTAAATATTTAAAAAGACTTACTAAGATAATTATGAGATAGTCTCAGATATTGGCATCTCATTTGGAAATTTGTTATAATCAGATTTCCTTTAAGCATGTCAGAATAAAATGGCTTCCCAGATACTTAATAACTTTATATGAGAACAGGTAAGATAAATAAGTTAGGTAGTTTAAGTTAATGAAATGCCTCAACACTGCTTACAAACTGAAAAAACAATCTCATGCCTTCCAACTTAGTATTATTTAAATAATTAAAAGACATTTTACACCAAAATTGTAAGTTTCTTGGATATGATCTTTAATGGGGTGAGTGATCTCTAACAGTGTATTTAACATTAAATAAAAATATCCATTGCTGTGTAATATTGCACAACAATAGTAATATTTGGCTTGACTTACATATTTGTTCAAATCTTTCTGGTACTAAATAAAATGCTTACCTTATAAAGAAACTGTTACTCAGCCGGGCGTTGGTGGCGCACGCCTTTAATCCCAGCACTCGGGAGGCAGAGGCAGTCGGATCTCTGTGAGTTCGAGGCCAGCCTGGTCTACAAAGTGAGTTCCAGGACAGCCTCCAAAGCTACAGAGAAACCCTGTCTCAAAAAAAAAAAAGAAACTGTTACTCAAGCCAACTGAAGCCTGCTAAATTTCTTATCTAGACGCTTGAAGGCTTCTTGTCAGCGCTATTTGGACTGCACTACTGATTCTTCCCTGTACTGTTGCTTGGCAGCAACACTCACAACCGCCATCCCTGTAACCAGCGGCTATGCCCTCCCTGTAACCAGCGGCTATGCCCTCCCTGTAACCAGCGGCTATGCCCTCCGAGTGCATTGGCCTAGGAGTCCAGACCTCTGACTTTGAGGTGTTGAGTTTTTGCTTTGGAGTTTCTCCCCTCAGCTGCTGCTTCTTGGCCCTCATAAAGATTATTTTCACCGTTTCTCTGCTTTGGCTGGATTTGCATTTCTCTGACTTGCGTACCACCCAACTAAATTATAATGCTCACTAATAACTTAGACTTTTTCTTTTAAATTTATTGCTTTCTTTTGGACTTGCTTTTTTATTATATAATTGTCCTGTCACAAACCAGAAAAGTAAATAAATGTAAAACAAATTGGCAAAGGGAACATTTCTTTTAAAAATCCTCATATTTAAGCCAAACCCTTAAAATACTTGACTTAGTTCTTGATGTATCTGTAAGATGGATGGAATGCTTGTCGGGGTTAATGGACCCCCAGCAGGATGGTAAAGCTGGCTCAGAAGAGAATGGAAGGAAAGGGATATGTGAGCACTGGAAGCTACTCTGGAATAAGACCCCTAGCTTAGAGATGAAACTGGCTAGTGTCCTTCAGGGCAATACACTGCATCTAAGGAATTACATGTTCTGTTGAACAAAAATCATTGCAATTGGTGGACAAAAATCTCTCAGGTGAGATTCCACTTCCACGAGATGAAAACCTTCACCCAGAGTTGCAAATCAAATGAACATCAGTTCCATTTTACAGCTAGACGGCTTGTGGGTCATTGTAAGGACACTGGCCCTCCTTTGATGTAATTCCAATTTGGGGTTCATTAACTTTGCTGTCAAAAACATGGGTGATGTGGACTTCCTTAAAGTAACCCACCGGAGAACAAGACCCACTGGTTCTGGTTCTGAAGTTGACTTTACAAATACATAAAGCCGGTCACCTTTGCTCTCTCCTTCTGAAACGCTGCAGCACGCTGGCTCCCAGCCCCCCTCCTCCTCACAACATGTTCCCATGGTTCTAAAGAGTGCTGTGTTGTGGCTGTCATGACTCTCTTCCCAGCCACCTGTTGTGGTGCTGAGATCTTTACAGTTAAGCATTTGGGGGCAATGACAGCTGTGCCACGATTATTCCTTAGGAATTGTGTACATCAGGATTAAATAATAAGGGGGCACTTATTTTAAGGTGTCCTCAACTTGGGAGCTGTCCAGTGGTGTATGACACAGCATGGTACATTATGAACTAGGTGTAAGATTAGATTCTAGGTGGAACCCAGCATGCCACCCATATGCAATACATATAAACATGGTTCTCTAAAGGTTAATGGCCCTTCCCTTATCGCAATAATAAAATGCAAACAACATCCTCCCCTACAAAGAGAAATGCAGAGCACTGGAAAAGAGTCAGTTATTGTCAGGGTTCCTCAGTCAGTGGCCGACTTCTAGAAACCTTGATACACCACATTCTTAGCTTTATGGACCACCCTCTAAGATCTCTACAGGGCTGTGATGTCACGAACATGGGAATCCAAACACTCCTGGATATGGATGCTGTAACCTCAACTAAAACCCAAAGTTTGGGCTCTGGGCTCATTTGAGGAACTAGTTCTCACATGAACTCTTCCCCCTGAGTAGAGAGGCTTGTCAGGGTTGGCTGCCCAGATTCTCTTTCTTAGGAAATAATGAGAATGTTCTGGAAGCCATATTCACCCTGCCCTCTCCGGGTGGTGGTTTGGAAAGCAACAGGAACTATCAGATCAACAGAAGACCATCTGCCTGTCATTAGAAGTTAAGATGGTGTAATTTGTGGTTTGGGGTGATCTGGCCAAGCACTTGGGCCTTGCCTAAAGTAATTGACAGGGGTTCTGGAGAACACTGAAAATCTGGCAAGAGAAGACTGGCCTCCAGCCACTTCGTTGGCAAAGGGAAAATGTCTTAGCCACTTCTGAGTGGCAGTGGCAAAGTACCTGACTCCCTTATGGGAGGGAGGACTATGGCTCAGGGATTCAGAGGGGTTCAATCCATCGCAGTGAAGAGGGTGTGGCGGAGTGGGTAGTCTTCTGGTGGGACTGTTCACAGAGTGGTGGGCCACGGAGAAAAGATGGGAGCCAGAACTAGAGGCAGGCTATCATCTTAATAACCTGAACTCTTATGACCATTTTGTATCAGTTACTCCCAACCTCCTAAATGATGCCACCATAGTACCCCCAATTAGCTGGATCAGTAGGGGGACATTTCACATTCAAGCAAGAGAGAAAGACTGTCTCCAAAACGATGCTGTGCCCTGGACAGTGTGTGGATACTTTGTTTTGAAAACCTCTTGTCTTGTTTCTCTGCCCAAAGAAACCCTGCTGAGCTTGTCTGTGGACAGTGGTGCCATGAATGCCTTTACCATGACAGATCCATAGTCTTTAGCTTGCTTGGGATGCCAGAGGAATGACTCAGTTCTAACACTGCCTGAGTACCTGGACTACGGAGGGGGTGCTGTGTTTTGAATAAGAATGGCTCCCATAGGCGCCTATGTTTGAATCCTTGGTCACCAGGGTATGGAACTGTTTGAAATGGTTAGTAGGGTTAGGAAGTATGGCCTTTCAGAGTAGCTACAGACCTTGTCAAGGAGGTGTGTCCCTGCAGGTGAGCTGTGAGGTTTAAAAGCCCATGACATGCTCAGTCTCTCTGGCCCCGTCTGTCTGTCTGTCTGCCTTTCTTGGCTCGTGGATCAGGATGTAACTGTCAGCTACTGCTCCAGCATCATGTGCACTGCCGTGCTTGCCACCATATAAAGAGTTGCCCTGGTCACGGTGCCTCCTCCCAGCCACAGAGCAGTGACTAAGACAAGGGGTTGCTGCCCCTCTGCCGAGGGCAGGGGCAAGGCTGTGTTCAATGTCCAGGCAACCCCGGAAGTGCAAGACCTAGACCACATGCTCTGTTGTTGAAATAGAAGGCTGATTGGAGTTGGCTTTGAGATTCGATTTAAGACTGGGGTGTTACACACTTGGTGGGAGCAGTACACTCTGGATCTCTTCTTGGCTGGGACATCTGCTTATCTGCGTTCTTGGGAGATGGAATGTGCAGTCTCAGTGACCACCCCTGACTCAAATAAATAAACAAAGGCCATTTTTCTTACATTAAATTAAACTATCTGCTGCCACCAGGGCTGCAGCCACTTAGCCCTATCTAAACTCCCAAGTGGCAAGGGAGAGCCTTTTACCCATAATCCTCTACAGCACAGTGATTGGCCGGGAAGCTTTGGCATGGGTTCTAGGCCTGAGTGCAGAGCAAAAGCGAAACCTTCCAGTGACAAATAAAGCAGGTCATGTTTCTATCAACTGGAAGAAATGAGTCACCACACTTTCAGAATTAGTGGTCAGAATTCAATGTAGCATGGGCACAAACCTCTCACATTTTACCCAGATGGGAGCCCAGAATGTTTACTTCTCTTTCACTGTCTGACTTTTCTCATGCGCCTACACCCTCTCGGCTACAGGAAAAACAACCCAAACTATGTTTAGCACAACGTGGTAAACTTTGAAACAATATCCACTGCCCTTGCCGCGGTTGGTTCTGTGAGCGCTCTCAGATTCCATTGCCCTCGTGGCTTCTTGTGAAGGCAACGCCATTATTCGGGATGGAATGACCCATCATTGCGTCTTCAAAAATGGACATCTTACGTCTTGATTTTTCGGTTTTTTGTTTTTGTCTTTGTTTCACCAGCAGGACTAGGGAGATAGTTCAGTCTGCCAAGGTGTCGCTCCCAAGCCTGATGATCCGAGTTCAACCCTTGGACCTGCACTGTGAATGGAGAGAACTGACTGCTACAGATGTCCTCTGACCTCCACGTACACGCCTCTACTCCTGCCCCACATGCACACACATGAGCACATACAGCAAGACAGCACAGCAAGTACATGTATACGTAACCGCAGTCTCCCCATTCGCCACCACACTTCCAGGTCCCCTCGGCTCGCCGTTTCCTTCCAGCATGTTCTCTGCAGATATTCAGAAGCGAGGGAACCTTGAGTGCATTTTCCCAATTATTTCACAGAAGCAAACATCGTATCTTCTTTCATGTTTATTTATTTCTGAGACAGGTCCTTCCTATGTAAGTCATGCTGTCCTCCAACTCCTGGTTCCCCAAGCTTCTCGAGGAGCTGGCTGGCACACGTCCTGCTCACAGCCTCTGAAGTATTTATTTTATAGTCATTCCTGTTAGACAAATCCAGGGCACGATGGAGAGAGAAGGGAGTGCTATTAATAACTGTGCTAGGAAAACAGGCAAGGTGTTGTGCATCCTACTTTTGAAGGGGAAGTATGCCTCCGGCAACCTTTTGTGGCCCATTTATCCACTTTGGGCTGTGCAACAAAATGGCGACGCTGTGATCCTTCCTGTACTATTGTCCTCGAAGGAGCTGCTGGCCTCTCCTGGCCCCGTGGCAGGGTGTGCTGAAGCCCCTGAAGGATCGTGGCTGCTGGCAGGCTTAGCTGGCTTGCTCTCTTTTTGTGGCCCATGGGAATGAATGGTTGGCATTTGGGCGCCCCACATTCTATCCCTGAATACCCACAGCCTGTCTCCAGTTCATCTGTTACTCACTTACCTCGGCACCTCTGAGCCATTTGGGTAATGATGATGAGCAGGTGACTGGGTGACCGGTTTCTTCTTCAGAGTGACAACCCTGAGGCTCCCTGGTCCACGTCTTCCTGCTCATGAGCTGGTCCTTCGAGGGCTGCAACTCAAGACCTCTCTCTTCCTCTTGTAATTCCTCACTTCTGAGAAGAATAGGCAACATGACTTTCTTCCCAGCACATGTCCTTCTGTCTGAAGACTACAGTTTGGAAGTCCAGCTGTCATTAAGGCTAGGAAAAAAATTGTTTTCAAAGTGGAAAAGTCATCTGGGTCTATGATCTGGGTCACGTAATTAGATTTTTTTTTTGAGACAAGGTTTTCATTATGTAGACAAGGCTGGCCTCAAACTCACAGAGACCTACCTTCCTCTGCCTCCTGAGTGCTAGGATTAAAGGTGTGTGCTGTAGCTCCAAATACATTTGGGGGGGTGGTTTCTGTGGCTTTGGAGGCTGTCCTGGAACTAGCTCTTGTAGACCAGGCTGGTCTCGAACTCACAGAGATCCACCTGCCTCTGCCTCCCGAGTGCTGATATTAAAGGTGTGCTCCACCAATGCACGACCTGCTCCAAATACATTTTAATGAAATTTCTTAAAATGACTTCTTCAGGTTAACAGGCAAAGTACTGGATTTTCATCATGGAATCTTAACAAAACAAAAGCAAGGAGCAATAAGAGGGTGAGAATGAATGAGGAAAGAAAAATCTCCCGACGTAAATCTTGTATGGATGGATATGCTGAGATCCAACTCAGTGGTCCAGGCTGAGCGGATGCTTCCCGTGACCTGGCTGGTCATCCTTGCAATGAGATGCTGTGGGCAGGGATGCTGTGGGCAGGGATGCTGTGGGCAGGGATGCTGTGGGTAGGATGCTGTGGGCAGGGATGCTGAGGGCAGGGATGCTGAGGGCAGGGATGCTGTGGGCAGGGATGCTGTGGGCAGGGATCCTGTGGGCAGGGATGCTGTGCAGGGATGCTGTGGACAGGGATGCTGTGGGCAGGGATGCTGAGGGCAGGGATGCTGTGGGCACTGTGTGCTCCAGGCCTTGTGTCTTTCACTTTTGGATTTCACGACCAGAGCACCACACGGTCGGATGAGGGAGAGCAGACGGCAGAGGGCTGCCTTGCCTTCAAAGCACCCAAACCCACTTTGTCACTAACTGAGCAGGGGGCCTCTCGCGGTTACCTCCTACACCTTCAGCACAAGCCCAGGTATTTCCCAGGCCTGCCCACACTCCGTGACTGTTGGGTAGGTTATTTTATTTCTCAAGGGGTGGGAGGGAAAAGTGAGAAAGGGGGCTCCCACCACCCCCAGAACGGCTACGGTTCCAGCTCATCAACACAAGAATCTAAACAGCTTTTGGAAAGTACCTTTGTGAAGAGGCAGCTGCAAGGGGGAGAAAATGGCCAAGAATGTCAACAGCACATGGGTCCCCTCTCCTTCACTGTCTCGTCCCTCTCGGGCTTGTTTTCCTGTTCTTTCGACTACCGCCCCAGGCCCCACTTCCCAGAATTCTTCTCTCACTGTCTTGGAGACTGAAGCTCTCTTCCTCCTTCCCAAGGATGGCACACCCTTAGGGAGAAAAATCCAGGCACTTGGTAGGTCAAGCAGTAGGTGGAAAGAAAGCAGTTCAGCCAGCGTGCACCTGAGGAAGTTTACTTTTCTGAGTCTCGGTTTCCCCATCTGTGAAAGGGGAGAATTTGCATTCTATTAACAGGCTGCTGTGGAGGAATTAAAGCTCAGTCATGACATCTGGGGCTAGTTGTATGTTTCCTTCGGATGTCATGACACATGTAGCAGGTCACAGAGCAGGAGGAAAAGGTCCTAGGATTCCCCAGGAACCATGTGTTCCCCACGCACAATTCACTTCCAATGCAATTATTGTTTACCTGGCAGAGTGCTAGGAAAATATGAAAATGGGCTGTGACTAAAATAATTATTTAGAGTATAAATACACTTCATGTCATCACACCAATAACTGCACAGTACAGAGAGTCATCCTTTAGTTAGAAACCACTGGAGTTTTGAGTGTGCATATTTCCAAATCCACAAGAGAAAAAAGAAGTGGTAGCCTATGCCCACAGCACAGCCCCTACCAACCTCAATGATAGCGTAACAAAACCCAAGAAATGGTATAGGTGGTAGCCTATGCCCTCAGCACAGTCTCTGCCAACCACAGTGATATCATAACAAAACCCAAGACACTTGATGTTCTGGCTAGTTTTATGTCAACCTAACACAAGCTAGAGTCAGCCGAGAGGAAGAAACCTCAATTGAAAACAATGCCTCTGTAAGATAGGGCTGTAAGGAATTTTTTCAATTAGTGATTGATGGGGGAGGCCCCGCCCATTATGAGGGATGCTATCCCTGGGCTGGTGGTCCTGGAGAGTATAGGGGAGCAGAATGAGCAAGCCACAAAGAGTAAGCCAGTCAGCAGCACCCCTCCACGGACTCTGCATCAGCTCCTGCCTCCAAGATCCTGGCCTGCATGAGTTCTTGCCCTCACTGTGTGTGATGGTGAACTGTTATATGGAACCGTGAACAAAATAAACCCTTTCCTCCCCACAATGCTGTGTTTCATCACAGCAAGAGTAACACTAAGACACTTAACTTTCGCTCTGAAAACATTTAAATATCCGAGGTATCACATCTTGTGCACCGCTTAAGGAGGAGGAGGAGGAAGAGGAGGAGGAGGAGGAGCAGCAGCAGCCGCTGCCCTCGGCTATCTGGAAGTTTTCCAGCTCCTCGCTATCCCCTGTCCACCTGCCTTGTGAGACCGAGCAGGAGCCCAGCAGCCCCACTGGCAGGCACTGACCTCCGGTGAGATGTCTCCCAGTCACTTCTTATAGCAGCACAGGGTGCAGTTCTCAGGCACTGTCTTTCTCCATAGTCTTCACAGCAAGTGGCTTTGACAAGTGCCCTGATTTCCCCGAGCCCTTCTTTGTGCCTTACGTCTGAAATGTTCCCCACAAGTTCCCGTGCTTGCACACGTGATTCCTAACTCATGATATGAGTGTTTGGGATACAGGCTGGGTTACTGGGACTAGGCCTTGAATGTGATATCCAGCTCTGGTTCTGGCCCAAGCTGTCTGCCTCCTGATCTGCCATGATGTGAACAGACTGCACCTCTCCTGATCTGCCATGATGTGAACAGACCGCACCTCAAGCTTCCACTATGGCAATTGGAATCCCTCCAGCAGCTGTGCCTCCCCTGCCATAATGGATTGTACCCTCTGAACTATGAATAATGAAAAATCCTTCCTCCCTTAAGCTGTCTTTCTTCTTTAAAAGATTTATTTTACTTGTGTGTATGTGTGCATGGGGGGTGGGTGTATGTGCCTGCAGAGACCAGAAGACGTGTTAGAATCTCTGGAACTTGGAGTTACAGGCAGTTTTGAATCTCACGATGTGGAAATGAACTTGGGCCCTCTAGAGGAGCAGCAAGCACTCCTAACCTCCTGGGCATCTGTCCAGTCCCCCTTAAGTGGTTTCTGACCAAGTTAGAGGGTAGTACACTTACGAATGTCATTCCAGAGATATGAGGAATAGGAAGGATGACCTATTTCAGGGACCCGGAATACTCATCTCACCCCCAAACTGTGGTAACTCATTACTTAAATCAACTTGGGCCATTCCTACTTTCCCTCTTCAAATCAAAACAATAAAGGTTATGAAAGCAAAAAGGAAGGAGCAGAAGAAATAACCAAGCAGGTTGGGGCAGCTGGAAGCCACATCTTCTGGAACAGAAGTAGCAGGGAAGGTATTCACCAAAACGTTGGTGGTGTTTTAGTTAGGGTTTCTGTTGCTGTGAAGAGACACCATGACCACTGCAACTCATAAAGGAAAACATTTCATGGGGTGGCTCACAGTTCAGAGGCTCAGTCCATACCCTCATGTTGGGACGTGGTGCCACGCAGGCAGACATGGACTGGAAAAGGAGCTGAGAGTCCTATATCTTGATCTGTGGGCAACAGGAAGTGAACTATGAACCGCACTGAGTGTAGCCCCCAAAGCCCACCTCCACAGTGACACACTTCCTCCAACAAGGCCATACCTCCTAATGGCTGCGCTCCCTATGGTCTTTCTCACCACCACAAATGGTAAGTGGTGGAATTCTGGAATCAACAGCCACTGATGAGGAACTCACTCTGTCCTTACTGGCTGCTGTCAAAAACCGACAAAGCCAGACGCTAGAATGGTGATGGTATACTTCCATCAGTAAGACCAGTGCAGCAGGGAATGGAATCCAGGTCCAACTGAATGCAGCCTTGATGGATACAAAGTGACAGCTGAGTACCACAAAGGGAGGAGGACGAAGCAGGGGACAGCCGCGGGTGGGGCAGAGTCAGGAAAGTGAATGAACAGTTATAGGGAGCAGAAAGGGGGCAGAGTCAGGAAAGGGAACAGTTATAGGGAGCAGGAAGGGGCCAGAGTCAGGAAAGGGAACAGTTATAGGGAGCAGGAAGGGGCTGCTGGTTCATATGACACACACATGGGTCTGTTAACTGGTGCTTATTGGAGCTGGGACACAGGTGTGGGCTGAAACAAAGAGGGGACTCTTTTGGTGGCCTTGAGTTCTCTTCAGTAGAGAGCTGTAGGCTGGGGAGGTCAGCTTCAGTATTTGGCCTTGAGCTGTTCACCTAAACTACTTAGGGCTTTATTTTTCAGAGCAAGTTTAAGGCCTAAGTAGAGAAGTCTGGCTAGAGTTGGTCAAAGGTCAAAGGAACAATTTTCTCCTCTTTCTCCTACCCATACCCTTCTCAAAGGAAAAGTATTGGCCCAGGATCCCCAAGACCAAGTTCTCAGTACAAAAGAGATTTATTTACCCCAGAGGGACAGAGGACAGGGACAAGAGACAGGTACAGGAGATAGGGGAAAACAGTGTGAAAGAAATGGTCAAGGAGGAGGGGGAAGGGTGTTAGTCCCAGGAGAAAAAAGGACTGTGTCTGGATAGAGAGGAGCCAGGTGTGGCACAGCAGAAAATGACAGTCTGTAAAGGCACAAGGGGAAACCCTGTGTTGGGACTAAGTGTTTAATTTTAGCTGGGCGTGCTAGTTGAGTGAGCCAAAGGGGATTTTGATTGCTGGACTTCAATACTTAGATAGCTGGGCCTTGGTAGAAGGAAGAAGTGGCCAAATACAAGAATGGTGGCTAGCTTTAGGAAAGCAATGTCACGGTTTTTAGCAAGGCAGAGGGGATGGAGAAAAGGACAAGGCCTGTCAGAGCTGTGCCTGGCACGCTTGAGCTGGTCAGTCGCCCCCCCCCCACCGCCTTCTGTTCCCATGCAGAGTATCTTAAAGGGATCCCCGGTGATCCTTTCTGGGGGACTCCGATTCTGAGCTAAGCTCACTAAACACATATGTATAGTG